GATCTTTTCCAGATGTTGAAACTCCTCCTCAGTTTCTCCAATTCTTCTGAGTGTGTTCACTGTATAAATTAATATAGATTAATCTTTGTCAAAGCTGTTTGTTCTGTTGTTTGCAGTTGTTTTAAAATCGATTGAGTTTGTAAACACATACAAATGATAAAACTTTTACTCTATTAAATTTTGCAATTAATCCTCTGAACATATGCGTGCTGAACCATGGGCCTAGTCACGGATCACTATCAACTACAACCTGCTCCCTTCACTAAAATGTCACGGTTCCTATACATGATAACAAATAATATAGATAAATAATGAACACGTCAAAACGAAAACACTGATACTTACAAGACCAAGTAGGAATGTCCTTTATCGTTTGTTTGCCCGCTGCTCTCCGACAAGTAAACTTAGTGCTCTCTCGTGTAAAAGCAAAATTCAAAACACAACACTGATCTTTAACTCTCATTTCTCGTGTTGCCAGTAGTCATTAGGGATGGGCGTATCGATCCGAAGTATCGATATATCGATACTGACGTGAGTATCGAAAGTATCGATACTCAAACAAAAAATATCAATACTAAGGTGTGTTTTATTTACCAGTGATTTTGTTAATTTAACAACAAAAAAATTCATACAATATGCATTGAATTGGACGAATAACCTTTGTTAGCGAGTAATTGTGTAGGATAGAACTATTTTCCTGCTCATCTGGACACGCAAATGTTGCAAGACAGAACTAATCAATCACAGAGAGAATTGCCATCTTGCGGTTGGGAATTGTAATTGCATTTTTATTTATAAAATGAAAGACAGCCGAATATCAATATGAATGTAACATTTAGCTTGTGGGATGCATGACATCATATTATCAAATGCAAGTAAACTTTTGAAACATTTAAATTAGCATTATTTTTGGCATAATAAATAATGCTATATTTAATAATGCTGTAAAATAATTCAATAAAATAATGCTATTTTAAATTATTCAAAATTTTTACTTGCATTTTATAAGCTGCTGCGTGGGCGAAAATTACATGTAAACAAGTTTAAGGCTATTTTGGCTATGCTCGTCGCTGGTCTGGTTACTGGTGTAGGACTATAGCCAAGCTGTTAAAATTAGACCACAGATTGCCTCGATTTCGCCAGGTGGGCTAAAAGCAGACTACACGTAGCCCGTCCAATTTAGAGCGAAATCGTGGCTACATATAGACCATGAATAAAATAATGCTATTTTAAATTATTCAAAATTTTTACTTGCATTTTATAAGCTGCTGCGTGGGCGAAAATTACATGTAAACAAGTTTAAGGCTATTTTGGCTATGCTCGTCGCTGGTCTGGTTACTGGTAGGGCTATAGCCAAGCCGTTAAAATTAGACCATAGATTGCCTCGATTTCGCCAGGTGGGCTAAAAGCAGACTACACGTAGCCCGTCCAATTTAGAGCTAAATCTACATATCGTGGCTACATATAGACCATGTCATGAAATGACACTTTCTTTGTAGATATTATTGACACTGCGAACATGATGGGATATCAACCATCTCATGCGCTGCCTGGCCAAAAACTACAGTGAAAAAGGTTTGACTATAAGTGGGCTACCGCTCTGACTACGAGCTAAATCGTGGCTACGCACAGGCTACGTATTGAACATGTCAAAGAAATGAAACCCCGGACTATATTGGGTCTATACTTAACCGAGACGTTGAAATGATTGACACTGAGATGGCTATTGCTTGCTGGGTAATAACGGCAAGAAGTGGCAAAATACATTTACGGTAATTATTATGCAAATTAATCGTATCTGTTTTACTAATCACTCAGAGACAACGCCCAGACAAAGATGTGCTCATTTTTAGACGCGTTAGTAGCCCGTAATATCCCCTAGAATGGTGTATCTGGTTCAAGATCCAATGAGAAGTTATTAAATGGCAACAATAGTCACTGGTATAGAATCACTAGTAAACTATTTTATTTCGTAACATATTTTCAAACACAACTAATATTTATTGGGCCATTTTATGACAGTGCCACAAAGTTATCTTTATTGTTATCTGAGTATACATGAGCATCTGATTTTATGATATTGTTTACAAAGGACAACCAGCAATCACCAGAACAAAATAAACATTAATTGGTTGGTTTACTGTTTGTAATGTTAAGTTTATGACGTAAAATTTAATAAAATAATGTTTGTAAAGCTGTAATTTAAAGCATGTTCATAATCTAATGCAATGATATTTACAGTTACTTAAGTGTCCACATATTTTTTGATATGGTCTTAAAATGTGTTTATTTATTAATAAGAAAGTTCTTACGACATTAGGCCCCTGGAGCAGGGTGTGTAAAGTAGGCGTGTGAGTTGGGCGGTGCTGGGGAAGTGAAGTTCAACTCACAAGATTATTGGCTGTCTGTGCTGGTGGGCCGAGCTGGGATGCGATGGTACGTTGTGATTGGTTATTTCAGCCGCACCGCGTGTTGGCTGCGCTCTGACGTCTCTCATCTTATCCGCGAGTGCAGCAGCAGCGGAGCTCTGTCTGCGTCACGACACAAACAGAGACCTGAAATAACTTCACCTGGCGAGTTGCTTGACTTTCTGTCACTCATCGGGCGTGAGGTGGGTTTTTCTTAGGCCACCACTTCTAAATGGCAAGTTCAGGTTCGGATGCAGGACGGCATCTTCTTCAGCAGGCTTATCATCATCATCATCATCATCATCCCGAACCGGCGCCCGAACCTGCTGTTCGCGAGGCGCAGAGATGGATAGAGGTGCGTGACGTCATATCACTGAGTTATTTGGAAATACAGTGTATCTGTATAATGCGTACTCATGCTGAAGCTTTGCAACATTTGTGTCGGGTTTAACTGGACACGCGCATCTCCAATGTCCGCTGTGTGGTTTGATAGTGGGTTATGTGTATGTAGAATGTACTTGGAGCTTAGTGTGGCTACTTGTGTTCACCTGTTGACATAACATAGGTTTCATCTGACATGAAGAAAGCCTGAAGGAATGTCAGTGCAATTGTTACCCAGTGCGAACCAGTCCTAATGGGATCAAACCAGCTAACACAATGTAGATTGTAACGTTACAATTGCATTGGAATGATGTTCACTTTTGTGTTGGCTTTACTTCTTCTTTTAAGGTTTGTCAAAAAAATGTTGAAGGAGTACCAGTGGGATTTCTTTCATAATTCAGAATCAGAATTGTTGCATATTCCCAGAGGAATAGATTACTATTGACCTAATATCTTATTCCCTCCTCTCAGGGAACCAGAGATTTAACTCACACTGAAATGTCAAATTTATTATATGCCCATGAGAAGGATGCAATACAAATTGCAAAATTGAGGTGTGAATATTGGACAATCAATGCTCATTGGGGCAGCAGGGATGCAAAACCAGGTTGAGAAGAAAAGATATTTAGTGCAACAAGACTTTAAGAATTAAGGTGAAGAATTAAGAATTAAACCATCAGGAACCTTTTCCACAACTGCAAACTACCTGCAGTCTCCAGAAGTCCAAGTTGTCAGGTTCTTAGAGATTTTGCTGAGGTAAAAAAATCCTGACCCCACTTAATACGAATCACAAGCAAAAGTGTTGTGAAATGCATTAAGATAGATTTTTTAAAGGCTTTATAGACAGATTAGTTTGAATGGATGTCAATGGAAGAGAGGCTTCACTAGCAAATGACAAAATTTGACAGCCTCTCGACTGAATGTCAACTTGTTGCCATTAAACATTAATTTTGGTTTGATTTACACCAAAAAAAAAGAAAGAAAAAAAGAAAAGAATAATCTGTTTTTATAAGAGAATTCATGCCTTTAACTTTGCACTAATTGCATGGTTCACAACGACTTCCATAACTCATGGATATGAGATGCCAGTCAATGCAGACAACTTTTAATGCTATTATTATTATTATTATTATTTAATTATATACATTTTATATACAGTGGGTAAAATAAGTATTGAGCACGTCACCATTTTTTTCAGTAAATATATTTCTAAAGGTGCTGTTGAAATTTTAACCAGATGTCGGTAACAACCCAAGTAATCCATACATACAAAGAAAACAAAACAAATAAGTTCAGAA